TGGCTGGGGCCAGGTTTGAACCTGCCACCTCCGGTAGATGGGGCCGGTGCCCTACTCCCTTGAGCTGCAGGCACCGCCCTCCATGTCGCCCTGAAGTGCTGTGACATCACAGGTCATAGCAACTTCCAACTCTTGGGCTTAAGCTTTTCTCTTGTCTCAGCCTCCCAAGTAGCTGGGACTGCCAGCGCCCACCACAACACCTGGCTATTTTTTGGTTGTAGTTGTTGTTCGGTGGGCCCAGGCTGAGTTTGAACCCGCCAGTTTCTATGTGTGTGGCTGGGACCCTAGCTGCTGAGCTACAGGCGCCAAGCCTGTAAAAATCCTTTCGAAACGGATAAATCCTGTGTGTATCATCAGGGGGTTGTAGGTAACAAGCTAGTATTTATTTATTGATTGTTTTTACCTTTTTTTTTTTTTTTTTTGAGACAGAGTTGCACTGTGTCGCCTTTGGTAAAGTGCCATGGCGTCATAGCTCACAGCAACCTCCAAGTCTTGGGCTTAAGTGATTCCCTCTTGCCTCAACCTCCCGAGTACCTGGCTCTATCTGTGGCTCCCATAACATCTGGCTATTTTTTGTTGGAGTGTCATTGTTGCTTAGCTGGCCCAGGTTCCGTTCGAACCTGCCAGCCTGGGTGTATGTGCTATAGGCGCCAAGCCATAACCTGTATTCTTACAGCCTGGAATATCTCAGATTTCATGGTTTAGAGCATTTGGCTTACATACCAGACTCCATTATTAACATATTAAATTGCTTAAAGGTTGTCTGCTCATTTTTTTTTTTTTTTTTTTAGAGACAGATTCTCACTTGGTCACCCTTGGTAGAGTGTTGTGGCATTTTAGCTCACAGGAACCTTAAACTCTTGGGCTCAAGCGATTCTCTTGCTTCAGCCTCCCAGGTAGCTGGAACTATAGGTGCCCCCTACAGTGCCCGGCTATTTTTTTAGAGACAGGTCTTGTTCTTGCTCAGGTTCCTCTAGAACTCATGAGCTCAGGCAGTCCATCTACCTCAGCCTCCCAAGTGCTGGGCTTACAGGCATGAGCCACCACCCTCGGCAGTTGTCTGCTGTGGATACACACACACACACTATTCTTACTTAATTTGTAAACATTTTTTCTTTCCCTTTTGACTTCCTTAAAATTAATGATGTCTAGCACTAAAAATCTAGTTTAATTTTTGATAGTATTAGCAGCTTAAAATAATTAGGAAGGGATACATCTAGCATTTTGACAGACACAAAGCAGATAAGAATTGAGAGCATTATTACTATAAAATGTTCTATTTATTTATTTTTTTGAGACAGCCTCAAGCTGTTGCCCTGGGTAGAGTGCTGTGGCATCGCAGCTCACAGCAACCTCCAACTCCTGGATTCAAGTGATTCTCCTGCCTTTGGCTCCCAAGTAGCTGGGACTGTAGGTGTCTGCCACAACGCCCATCTAATTATTGGTTGGAGCCAGCATTGTTGATTGGCGGGCCAGGGCTGGATTTGAACCCACCAGCTCCGGTGCCCAGCCAGATAAAATATTTTAGATAGTGATTATTTTGACCTGAATAATCCTTTTTAAAAAAAATTACATAGTTTTAACTTGGGCTTTGGTATTCTTTTAAATTCCTTTTTTTTTTGAGACAGAGTCTTTCTTTGTTGCCCTCAGTAGAGTACCATGTCATCATAGCTCGCAGCAACCTCAAACTCTTGGTGATTCTCTTGCCTCAGCCTCCCAGGTAGCTAGGACTACAGGCGCTGGCCATAGTGCCTGGCTGTTTTTTAGAGACGGGGTCTTGCTATTGCTGAGGCTGGTCTTGAACTCCTGAGTTCAGGTGATCCACCTGCCTAGACCTCTCAGAGTGCTAGGATTATAGGAGTGAGCCACTGTGCCTGGCCTTTTAAATTCTTAATAAGCTATCAGCTTATACTCAGGAAACACTTAAAGATAGCTATTAGAATTTTAGATATACTTTAGATATATCTAAATATACCTAAAATGTCTCAATTACTGAGGTGGGAAGAGCTTTGTAGCATAAGCTGCTTCATTTTCTTTCTTTTTTTTTTTTTTTTTT